TAAATATATAATAACAAATCGAAAAACAGAACAGAAAATATGTTTATCAAATTCCGCTGGGAATTTGAATCAATTCAAAGGTGTTAAGTGCTCAGGGTTTATCAATAGATAGTTAACTTAATGAAAATTTGGCCCTATCTAATCTTTTGGTCAACTAAAAATATATGCAAAGTTTATGAATAGTTGATGAACTTTTTAAACCAATTTCCTACTATTTAATTATATTTATATATAGAAGCAAGCAAACATGCATATAGACTTGTATTTTTTTTTTTTTAGCACCTCGTGTTAATTTCCTATTGTTTATCAAACAGGAAAAGCGGCAGGGTGAAGGGGGTTGACGGAAGCTACGTACCTTGCCCTTGGTGCCAGCTACGTGAATAACAGACAGCTTCTCCACATCCTCTAAGGTTAGGCCACTCCGCTCCAGATACTTCAATGTAATGGCCAGCGTATCGCAGCGAGTGTTAATCGAATTCTGGATGCTTTCCCGATTCGACTGCAGATTCTTCAGCTGCTCAATGTCAGCCTGGAAGCAACAACAAACAAATAAGGGATCTCTGCACCCCAGCCAGGCAGTTAACTTACATTGTATTCGGCTTCCTCCCGGGCATCCTGCTCGGTGAGCGTCCTACGACGATCCGAGAAGACGAGCTCCGAGAATGTATACTTCATCTGATCCGGCTGCGGCTGGGAGCAGCCATTAATGCCATTAATGCCGGCAGCTGGCCTGGGCAGTGCCTTCAGTGTGGGCGGTTTTGTGGCCAACTTGCGCAATTTGATCGTATTGTTCATCCGTCTGGTGCTGTTCAGTAATGCCACATCCAGGCAGATCGTCGTTATTGTTCGTACTGATCGAAGGGGCTTTCGCAATGGCATTCTATTACGTTTAACGCTTTCTCTCTTTCTCTCTCTCTCTCTCTTTCTGTCTATGTTAAAGCTCTCTCTATCGCTCTCAGTGCTTCTCTTGGTATCAATGTTAAGCTCTGCGTTAAAATATATAATTGATCAAATAATAACAGCGAATTGACAAATTTATAATATAAACAATATAAATGCGTGTGCGACCAAGAAAAGATTAGATAAGATCAATGTGATTTATTAATCGAACATGCAACGATGACATACAAATTTACACATACACATATTTCATTTATTAAGATCTAAGCATGCAAAATCAAAACAAATTCAAAGATAACGTATATATTGATAAGGCGCAATTTCGCAACAAGTGGATAAATATCGCTTACAGTTAATATCAGCACTAGCGATAACGATACATTTCAAAAAAACTTGTTAGGTGGCAACATCAAAAAAGCATGCACACATGTGCACACAGTACTACACACACATACCCACATACACAGGCGCATTCACGCGGTTTCGTAGTATTTACATTTTTTTTTTTAATGTTCACAGCAAATTTTTATGATGAATTATTATGAAGATGAATTATAACGTGCTAAGTGCAGCTGGCATTTACAGTAAAGTGTACAGTGGTACCGCTGTCACCGTAGGCCGACAGTTTTTGTTTCACAAGTGGAAAACATTTAGAATTTATATTTAGTTTTTAACCGAAAGCGAAAACCGCGTTTTTACACTTTCCACACGCTGCACGTGTGAGCGTGTGAATGGCAAAACTACAAAATTGCGATAAATTCAGTGCTTGCTGTGTTTACGTTTGCTGCTGTATGTGTGTGTGTATTTGAGTACGTGTGAGCGTAAGTGCGTGTATGAGTGCACGCACGTGTAAACAATAATAAGAAAAACCATGACGGAAACAACGGATGTGCCAGCATCTAGGTAAGTGCCATAAAATACGAAATTGAATATAATTGAATTCATGATACTATTGTCTACACACACACACTCACAGTCAGATTTCGCGTCTGGGCAACTGTGAGGTCTGCGCCAGGCAACCGGCGCGCTACGCCTGCCCCAAATGCGAGGTGAAAACGTGCTGCCTCACTTGCGTGCAGATCCACAAGCGGGAGCTGGAGTGCGACGGCAAACGGGATCGCACCAAATTCATGCCCATGAGCGAAATGACCGAACGTGAATTCATGAGCGACTACTGCTTCCTCGAGGAGTGCACACGCTATGCCGAGCATCGCAAGAAGGACCCGTGCAAACGCTATACGCAGCAGCAGCGACAGCTGCCTCTGCCACTGTATCGGCTGCGCAATGCAGCCGCAGAGCGCGGCACACGTCTGCAATTCATGCTGGCCAACTTCAGCCGGCACAAGGAGAACCGCACGTACCTGCACTGGAAGGAGCGCTGCATCTACTGGCAAGTCGAATGGCTGTTTGTTCATATGGATAGCGAGACGCCGACACGCTTCGTGGAAAAGCGCTGCAGTGAACAGCAAACACTCGAAGAATTGCTGGAAAAATATCTGGATATACAGCAGGACTTGGCCAGCAGGCACCGCAAAGTGTTGCAACATCATCAGACCGCTGGCATTGGCGAGCTCAGCCTCTGGCTGCGTGCCGAGGGCGTCAAGCGGAGTGGCCAACGCTGCTACTCCCTCGCATCCTATAGAACACTCGGCTCGAGCCTGGCGGGCAAGACAATTGTCGAATATCCAACCATATATGTCAGCTACGAACAGCGTCCACCTGCTGGCCTTGAGGCGATTGATAGCGGTAAGTTTTCGACTCGGCCTGTTCAATGCGAGCCGCTGTAGCTTTCGATCTTTGCAGATGAAGAAGAAGAGGAGGCAGCTGGCACTGATCCGCAACCAACGGCCGCAAAACGTTCCAAGACTGAGGCAGCTGATCCAACTGAGCGAGCTGAGCCACCAGAGCCAGAAGAGCCAGAAAAGCCAAAGAAGCAGCTGCCCGAGCTCTTGGACCTTTACTCATTGGCAGATAGCTTTGGCGTCGACAACTCGCCGGAGAGCAGTAGCAGCAGCAGCAGCGACGACGAGCTGCTTAGTGTTAATGAAAATGTAGACAATTAATCAATAAGCAAACAGTTTAAACAATTAGCATAAGATTCAGTTAACTTTGTGGAGGACTTACAAAATATTGCAAAATTCGTGCAAAAACATTGACAGAAATTTCGTCACTAACCTAAAACGAATGTTGTGAAAGAAGTGACGAATAGAAAATACCCTGTTGAACATTATTATACACCTAATATAAATATTGTATAAATCTATTCTGTAAATAGAAAAGGGCGCTCAAAATCATGGCCAAGTTAAAATGGAGATTGCATTTATTTCTATAAGCTGAACTGAGCTGAGTTACTCGAGCAGCCAAAAATGCCATACGAATTATGTATATATTTTATGGGAAAATATATAAGCTTTATATAAATAGGTGTAATCATATTTAATTAGCTAATAGAGTCGATCTTTGCATGACGTTCCAAAAGAGCTTTACAGATTTAGTGAAGCACCTGCAAGTCCCATGAAGTGGAACCTATGCAATATGAACTGAGTTAATTGCTCAAAAAGCTAGTAAGGCTGTGCAGCCCTGCGCAAAGCTAGTTCCGCCAATTCAAATGTGAACTGTTTTCCGCAAATCCATCTTCCTCTATTGGCATCTCTTTCCCACACATGTGATGGAAGGCACTCAAAATGGCAAACACAGAATTTCAAATTTATTTATGAATTTATTTATTTTGTTTTATTTTTTTATAGGCTAATTAAATAATAAGACTTCTAGGGGTTTGAAAAAACTGTCAATTTTAGCTCTGCCCATATGTATATATATCAAGATTATATATATATCTGTATAGACATAATCATATGTGAGCTCTTTGTGTACAATTCGTGTTTGTATAATGCAATTTCTTTAATTATAGCATTATATACGATATACCAATTAGTTGCTTTTGTACATCATACAATAAGTGCACAATATTCATAAATATATATATTTCAATTTATATATATATGTATGTATATATAAGTTATAAATTTCATTTTGTATTTGTATTTTTAAATCGATTTGTTTTATTTTTGCCTGCACCAGTTTGTTTTTTTTTTTCTTTCTTTCTTTTTTAGTTAACTAAAAATTAAATTAATTCTGATTTTACACAAAAAATTATAATAATTAACACATATAGACAAATAGTCGTAACAATCAAAAATTAACATTGTTTCTGCATACAAAAAAAAATTAAAATTAAAAAAAAAAAAAAACAGAAAAAAATGTAAGCAAATGGAATATTTGATAAATATGGATTATGTATATCAATATATATATATATATCTATACATTGAATTAATGCAAAAAGTTGAACAACTTAACTTTTCCATTTTTCTTTTTGCTTTCATAATCTTTTGCTTAAAAATATGTATATATATTTTGAAACATTTCGAAACTGCTCTTTTCATACTCCTTCTCTTTCATTCAACAATACGTACATGCGTTTACCTTTTCTATCAACGTAAATCAAGAATCGAATTTAAGAATCGTACGACTAAAAATGATGCAAACATACAAGAGAGAAATGAATTAATTAATTTATGTAATTACATAAATATATATATATATTTAGTTAAGCAAACAATTTTCTTGCGTGGGTGGGGGAGGGGGTGTGGCTGAATGGTTTATTCCAATCGTTTACATAAGGAAGGGGAAATACAA